GCTGCAGCATATGCTTCATGAGTGCCTAAAGCAAAGATAAAAAGCCACTCTCCTCCTCCTTTATTGAAGTTTCATAATAAAATGGAACTGTCACCACTTCCAATAAATTGTTTATTTTAATTTAGAAAAATAATGAAAACGGGCCACCTTCTGGCACACAGTTGTTGAGGAGTGTCTTCCTGGCTCGGGCAATCTGGAACCTTCTGTTCTCTGTAGCTGGCTCTGGAAGACACGCAGGTCTTGGTGTTGGTGAAATCAACCACGTGTCCCTCTCCATTTAATAAAACCTGAACCTTGAAGGGCACAATAAGTCATTTTTCAAGGTGTATTAGATTGTGACATTGCAAATAAGAAAGTTGGCATAGAAGATGTTTGAGGGATAAAGTTGTGCAGGATTTTTAAAAATCCTTCTTTGAGTGACTATGCAGTTAAAATAGTCTCACATTTTCCTGCCGTCGTGGTCCTTCCCGATGACTTCCTTTTTCTTGTAATATCAGTGAGCGGTCAGCCCAGTCACCCTTGCGTTAGGAGGAAAGCGAGGACAAAACTGAAGGAAGCATCTTACTCAGACTGATAGAGGGTAAGTGGGAGGTTGGCACTTGGAACGCAGACCACCCCTTTTGCCTACGGCTCTGAGGCTCTGATGCCCTCATCTTCCACCCACTCCACAGGAACTGTCCCATTCCCATCTCACAGGGGGGAAAACTGAGGCCTGAGAGCCACGCTATGTGCCTCAGGGCTTCATAGTTGGTAAATGGTGTAATCAGGACTAGAATTCAGTCTTCTGAATCCTAGTTCAGGTTTTTTTCCCCCCAGAGTCCATGGGGTCTATATACCAATTGCATACACACAATGACTGCATTAAGTATTATAATGTTTGAATCTGAAAGCAGGCACAACTGGGAGTAGAGAAAATGAAATCTGTGTTGATGAGGAGGTTGTCGGGCAGTCAACCAGCCCCCTTACAGACACCACCCCTGGAGTGCACACAGTTAGGATTCATCCTCAGCAGGTCACTCTGTGCCATGGTAGCTAAAGCACTGCTGTTAAATCCATGTGCCCCTACAGTATGCTGGGTGTGAAGTGCCTTGCTGTAGGTGGCACGGGCACCCCTACAGGTTGTGAAAACCAGGCAGTGCAATGACAGCCATCAGGAAGGGGAGGAGGGTGAGAGCAGACATGAGATTGGGAGCATCACTGTAATGCAGGGGTAGTTTGGGGCAGGTATTGTCTCAGCCAAGGTCATGGTGATGGTCATGGTCATCAAGGTCTTTTCCATTAGGTGGTCCAAACCTAGCTAAAAGCCAGTCAGGCAACAAAGCAAGTTTATTGGCCCACTTACATGAACAAGTTAAACATGGCTAGATCTAGAGGCTCAGATCATGTTGACAGATTCTGTCCTGCCCCTTCCACTGTGGGCTTTTTTCTGCTTGGCTATCACCTTTACTCAGGTGAGCTCTTCCCATGTTGTGGCTAGATAGCTGCTGCTGGCAGCACTGGGCTTCCTCCCTGACCTCTCAGTAATCTCACTGGAGGGAGTCTTCTTCCCTACATTTAAGCCGAAGCCCAAGGGTTGGATCATGTGCCCCTGACTGACAGTGGCCAATGGTACAGAATTCACATATTGGACAGGCCTGGTAAACGGGCCCACCCACTGATCGGGGAAGGAAGGAGAAAGGTGTTAGCCTTACCTAAATCATATAAATTCCGGGCAGTGGGATAGAGGGGAAATCAGAAGAGGAATGGATGCTGGGTAAGCAAAAATCACATGTCTTCACTGGGTACCACAAGCCTTAGCGATTCCTCGGACGGACCATTGGTCAGTGGCTTGGTGAGGAGGAAAGTCAGGTCTAGCCCTCATGGCTCCAGATCAGCCCTGTCCAACAGAACTTCCTGCAATGCTGAAAATGCTCTTTAATCATCACTGTCCCATGCAGCAGCCTATAGCCACGTGGGGCTTTTGAGCGCTTGAATGGGGCTACTGAGGCTGCGGAACTGAGTTTTTCATTTTAGGTAATTTTGATTGAACTTAATGTAAATAGTTACATGTAGCTCATGGCTACCATAGTGAACAAAGCAGCTCTTAGTGGAAGTCACATCACGGGAGGCAGTTCCCTGGAAGGCCAGATCCGGTTTTGTGTAAGAGGAGAGTTGGGCTGAGAGTTGGGCTGAGCAGCCTAGAAGACCAGGTAAGGAGCAGGAGAAAAGGGAGTTTGGGCATGAGGGAGACTGGAGAGAAAGAAACAGAGAGAGTTCTTCATCTGTGATATCATTGGGAAACCCTTAACCTGAGGAAATATTTTTTCCATGTCATATATGGACCAGATTTGTACCAGGGAAAAACAGTCACAACTGACCTTGTTATAAAAGTGAATTTAAGGGAAATCTATGACATGTTGTTACATTTTACTCTTAAATGTCCAACAATAAAAGCAACCATTGCCTGAAGGGCCTTTCTCCACATGACACACAGCCACACATGGATTAAAAGAAAAATTAAATGGGGTTGCTGTGTTATTAAAAAAAAACAATACAGAGTAAACTTGTGTGACTGAGCACAATTAAATACAGTTGACAAAAATGACATCAGATGAATAGAATTAACTTGTCAGGCAGGGTCTGCTCACTGCCATGTGAGCCTGAAGCTGGTTAAACACCCGCCCCTCTGCAAGCTGTGTGATGGGTGTTTCATCAGCGTCTGTGTCCTGTAGGATGTGTGGGGTGACACTGGCCAATCTAAGTCTTCTTGGTGGTCGACACTCGCCCACAGTCAGGTTTCCCAGGGAAGTTATCCCTGGTGAAGGCAGACTGATCTGTCCTGATCCCCTCCATCCCACCCACAGCCAGGACCCCTTGGCTTCCTCACATTCAGTTAACTGCCTGGATTTGTTCACCAGGTGCTCATGGAGGACACACCATGTGCTTAGTATCCTGCTGGGCCTTGGGCGTCAGGCAGGAAGACCAGAGAAGCACCAGGTTTGGATCCTGGCTGTGGGGTTCGCCTGCTTCCCTGGCCTTTAGCATCCCTCTACTCCATCACTCAGGCAACTGATAACCACCTGAAGACTCAGCCACAGCCCAGCACAGGGATTAAGGAAAAGCATTTCTTAGGACACAGACCACACTGGCCAGATATGTCAAGCTCATGGCCAGTGCCTGGCATATAAGATATTCCCCCCTCCCCACATAAAAGAAGCAGATGCATTATGGAAAGGAGGGCATTAGAGTGGGTGAAGCTGAGCTGGCGTGGGATCTAGTCCAGGCCGTTAGGAGGTGTGTGAATTAGAGCACAGTGCTGAGCCTCAGTCTCTCCCTCTGAAAGGTGGGATGATGGACCCTCACAGGGTTGTTTGCGGACTTATTGGCCTGGCGTTTGTTAAGCACCTGCTGTAGAGCCGGCTTTGATAACTGTGGCTGCTAAGATGAGCCCCAGGCTGCAGTTGCTGTGAGGGAGGGTTGGGCCAGGGTCTTGTGGGCTGTATGAATATTCCCAACGTGAAAGATCAGGTCCAGCCTTGATCCGAGTTAGGCCTGGGTGTCATTCAAGCTGAATCACTGTGCGGAGCCCACCCAAACTCTAGTCCAGTTTGCCAGCAAGCCTGCAGCCCACCCCCATGACCAGCAGCCACTTGAGGGGGCCCAGGCAGGACAGTATCTTAGGACCACAAGCCATGTCCTAGGGTTGGTCATTCTGATCCGTTCTGATTCTATAGCCAGATGCATCCTCTAAATGACGATGGCATTCTTGGGGCATCGTTGGTTCCCAGGCCCCCCAAAGAAAGAAAGCCATTCATAGGCCAGGAAATCGCTTGCAGCTGTTTCCCATTCGCCCATTCACCATGCTTCTGTCTCTCCTCATGATTCCTCCTGCCAGTTTCCCCAGCAGGCAAGGACATGGACGCCTTGGGAAGAGAAGAGTTCATTGCAGTAGAAAAGAAGTGGTTTGGGAGTAGATCAGTTGGAAAACAATGCCAGGCAGCTGTGTCACTGTGGACATGGGCTGTGGGTCAGCGGACACTGCACACACTCACTGTCCCTGGGCATGCACCTGGACCTGCTCTTGCCCCCTTGTTGCCCCCTTGTTGTGTGGGGCTCCACAGTTCCTTTCTTTTGTCCCCTTTAATCTCCAGCAATGCTGGGCCTCTGTGGAGCCAACATAGTCAGAAGGGCCTTGGACTGCTTCCGAAGAGGCTCGTTTCCATTTCGTTTGTCCCTTAAAGCTCTTCTGATCTCTAGCCTGTGTTTCACTTGCCATAATCACAGCTCTCATGTTGTGATCCAGTCTTTGTCCTTGCTCTTTGGAGATGGATACTGAGTACCTCCTGTATCAGAAATGGGGTAGTCATGGGAGACAGACAGAGTAGGCAACCAGACATACCCTGTCTTAGGGATGTCACAGTCTTGAGTGGGGACAGAATCTAATCAGGCAGATAACATGCCTGGAGTGCTAAGTGCAAGGTGGATCTGAGCATGGGGTGTAACACAAGGGCCCCAAGCACGCATTCTAAGCCAGTCTCAGGGGCAGGTGGCCTGAGAAGCCTTCTCAGGTGGGAAGGGGATGATGTTCAAACTGAGTCCCCAAAATAGGTGGGAGGGAGCCTGGCAGGAGAGCCAGAGATGGATAGAGAGTGGGTTCCCAGAAAAAGGAGCATGCACCGAGTCCTAAAAGTGATCAGGAGTGGGAAAATATATACTAGAAGGGGAGAGCATCGTGGAAGATGAAACTGGAAAAGGAAGCAGGGATTTTTAGATGAAGTCAGTGCTTTTCACCAGAATTCAACAATTTTCTAAAATCCAATCAAAGCTAAAAAATGCATATGGAAGGTAAATTTTACATTGAATAAGTCTTTCATTTTAAACTTTGAAGGGAAAAAAAAATTATGATTGTTTGGGTCTGGGGTTCATCGGCCTTCCCTTCGCATACACCTACCTGTTCATTCAAGGTTGGCATTTCACGTGACAGGACAGATGCCAATGGATTTTCTGCTTTGTTGTTTCAGCACTTCAGGGAGCATCTGGACAAGCTTTTTGCCAAAGGAATCGGAATGCTGGATATAGCTCTGAACGAGGCCTTCAACATTCTCAGCGATGTAAGCTTCTCTTTCACTTGCCTTTCTCATGTCCAGCAGAATAGATAGGATTGTTTTTCTAGTTGCGGGCCAGTGTTATTATTAGCCCTGGCTAGCACTGAGCAGTATCCACAGGCACGGGATGGCAGAGTGAAACTGGCCATTTGCAATGTCTGGGGAGCCAGGTGCAGCCAGTGAGGCCAGACCCGCCCCCTGCTCGGCTGACTTGGTGGTGCAGTCTGGTCAGGGGACTGGTTGGCCATGTTCACGGACTCTGGGGCCATCAGCATCTCACACTTGGACACCTTCTAATGAAGATTTGTTTTCATCTGAGAAACTCTCAGTGTCTTCATAGAGTAGACCCATTTCTCATTGTGTGTCACACCGCATCCCTGAATGTGACAATGTTGCGAGGGTGAAGGGCTTCTCTGTGTGGTATGTTTAGGGAGTGCTATTCTTATCTTTCCCTCTCTTTCAGCCCCTTGGAAATTCACCAGGTGCAGTAGCATATTCAAGTCTCTAATAAATACTGCAGGAAAGACTGCTCTTAGCCTTCTGTTCCTCACACTTTGAACAAAGAATGCATTTTTCAAGTAGCAACTGTTAACGTCCCATGAAACACATTGGGGAGTCCTGGCCTGGTGTCTCTTCCCCTGGAATCCAATTGTGTTAAGCTACAGCAACATGTGCTTCCGTGTTCTTGTTCCCCTGGAAGGGGAGTAGGAAGAACAATGACTAACTTTATCAATTCAGGTTCTGTATCATTTAATTAGCTAGTACATATGGTATGCTTTTTAATGTCAGACACTGGGGATACACCAGAGAACAGAATAGGCAAAGTGTTTGCCTCACAGGACCTTACACTCTAGTGCAAAGGTCAGCAAATTATGGCCCGTGAGCTAAACCCAGCCCGCACCCTGTGTTTGTAAATGTTTTATTGGAACATAGCCATGCCCACCTGATGATGGATTGTGCAGGGCTGCTTTTCCCTACAGTGGCAGAGTTGATTAGTTGCAGTAGAGATCACATGGCCTATAAAACCTAAAATATTTACTACGTGGCCTTTTACAGAGGTTTGCTGAGCCCGGTTCTAATGAGAAGAGGCAGAATGAAGTGAGTAGTCCTACGGAGAACAATAGCACCGTTGTTTCAGCATGTAAGGAGCCGTGGCTTCATACAGAGACCCAGAGAAAAATCTCTCTGATGAGGTGTTGTTGGAGCAGAGGCCTACAGGAAGTGAGGAAGCAGCCATGTGGATACCGTGAGGGAGAAGTTTCTAGCAAGAACAACAGATGCAAAGGGCCTGAGGCAGGGATGATTGGCACATGTACAGTATAGCAAGGAGCCCCGTCTGACAGGAGCCAAGTGGGGAACAGGGAGAGCTCAGGAATGAGGTCATGGCAGCAGCAGGTGCTGGGTCATGGGGAGCCAGATAGACTCAGTGAGGACTTGGGCTCTCGCTCTGTGCTGGCTGGAAAGTCACTGGAGTCTGAGCGGAGAATGACATGGTCCATGTTGGGTTTTAGCAGCGTTTGGCTGTCTGCTGCATTTAGAAGCAGCCATAGAAGGGCAGGGACAATAGCAGGAAGGCCATTCAATTATAATGGTGGCTTGGGCCAGCAGTTAAGATGTGAAGAAGCAGAGAAATAGAAGCCATTCCAGGTATTTCACACAGCAGGAGTTTAATTCAGGGAATTTGTTGCACAGGGGATGGAAAAGCTGAAAGACCAAACAGGGAATGAAACAATTCACAGATTAGGGCTGGCTGGAGGCAGCTTTTCTCTGTGTTAGGAGGGACATCCGGACGGAGGGGCTCCATCAGACGCTCCTCGCTGCGGCCATCCAGATGGGAACAGAGCCAGGGAGGGGCTGCCCAGCAAGCGCTGGGATCATGGAGGGCAGGACCTGTCCTGTGGAAGCTAGCGCTGTGGAGGAGAGCAGCCATTGCCAGAAAAGGCCCACATGCCTAAAGCAGAGAGAAAAGGAGAAATACCTTTACTTATCCCTTGTGTCCTCCAGTATTATCCTTCAGATGAACCTCGTCAAAACTGTTGGGGGGCCTGGGAAATGTGATTTGCAGGGAAAAGGCATGGGGTGAAGCTGAGAGCAAACAGGCACTGAATGGAGCAGCTGCTGCGCTGAGGTGTCGCAGGCGCTGGGAGACCAGCTATACGTGCAGGAGCCTCATGCCCTGAGTCACCAGGCAGCTCTGTGGGGCAGGCTGATGTCAGTGTGCAGGGTACCATTCCCCACCATTGCACGGGTCATGTGTAGTGGTCAGTTACGTCTGACTCCACAACGTGCCATGTTCCTGCTAGTGACGTTGGCCTCTCAAACCAAGGGTACGACCTGATTCGAGACTCTTTTACTGAGAAAATCTGTTGGTACCCAGAAGGCCACTTAGGTCTGAGCCAGTGCCATGATGGCAGAGGAGAGAGAAAAAAAGGAGGGAAGGTGCCACACCAGCTTCCTCAGGATAAACCCGAGGCCGTTCCGTCTCACCTCACTCCAAGGGGCTGTCGGCTACAGATAATTAATGTTTATGTAAGCCTCAGTGTTCAGGACAGCACATTCCTGTTAGCAGCTTATTAATAATTTATAAGCTTAGCCGGCCAGAGCAAAGGGCCAAACCAGACCTTGAAGTTCTGATTGAACCTGCACAGGTGCCTTCTCAGGCCTTGGAGATGCTGAGCTCTCGGTATCTTAGCAGGCTCTTTCTAGGGGGCAATATTGAAAAGACTTTTCACAATTGGAAAATTGGCTGCTTTTGTATCTCCAAAGCCTATAGTGTCTAGAGCAGAGCCCGGGAGTCCCTTGTCTGGAAATCTGCCTGCAGTGAATTTCTGTTTTCCCGCTCCTCGGCAGAGCTGGTAAGGGAGTGAGAGTTATTGTAGAAGATGCTCATTGTGGGGTTAAGATGCCCGTCGTGGCCTCTGGTGTTGGGCAGGCTCAACTGAGAAGCCTGATTCTGTCTGTGGCCCTGAGAGAGCTATGCTCATTTCACCTTTATTTTCCTCTTCTGTAAAATGGGGATCGGAAGAGACCTGGCGTTGGCCCCATAATTTGTGAGGTCCAGTGCAAAATGAAAAGGCAGGCCCCTTGTTCAAAAGTTACTAAGAATTTTAAGAGAGAGACAGCAGAGCAGTAAGCCAAGCGTGGGCCCTTGAGTAGCTGTCACATCACAGTCACATGAAGCCTGTCCTGGTAGACTGGGACTGAGAATTCAGCCTGGGGAAGGGTGCCTAGCCCCCTCTCAGCAATGCCGGGTTCGGTGGGAAGCTCCGTCCCTGTGACCAGGGAGACACCAGGCAGCCTCAACTCTTGCTAGGCTGCCTGCGGTTTCTGGGAGCCACTCCTACTCCAGATGCTGTCATCCTACTCCCTGCCCACAACCTCAGGAAGAGCTGCTTCGCTTCATCTCCTCCTCTCTTCTTTTCCTTGCCATGTACCTTTTCTCTCCCCATCCTTTCCACTTACCAGTTTTATTTTCAGACTCCCCTGAGCAGTGTTTCCCATTGCATGTCCAGTTGAATGCTGGTTTGCCAAGATGCTCCCACATCGGTGCCGTGGTCAGGTGGGGAGATGCACAATGCACTTGTCCATAGTGAAGGCCTAGAAGTCCCGCGGTGAACAACCCTTTTAAAATGTGCTTATACCAGTACTCAAGCTATGGACCCAGGAGCTCTTTATATCATATCATAACCTCAGGATTAGAATTGTGTAGAAGTCACAGCTCAAAGAGCAGAGCTTCAGGCATCTTATCTCTGTATACTCCAAGCAGGCAGCTTACACTCCCAGCCCTCCTATGATCCAGAGAAATCACCCACATATGGTGTGTTTTCTTCCTTGAATCATGGTGACAGAAGTATTTTTGAACCAGGGAAACCTTCCACATACCTACCCGCTCTGCCTTCACCTGTAAAAGCACCTCTGGGGCGTAGCCAATCAGAAAATGTTATGGGCAGAAAGTAAATTCTAGAAAGCAAGAAACGGAAGGAACCAAAAATGTGACAAAATGTTCCTGCTTGAGATTGTCGACAGTGGGCACCCTACATTTTTAGTGCACACTTATCCCAAGGAGAGAAACATTTCCATCCCATCTCTTGCCATTGGGCTTGTAAATAGCCAAACACTTTGAAACAACACAGAGATGGTTAATCTCCCATGAAAATGAAGCTTTAGCTATTTTCCACTTCACCAATATGACCTTTCAATGATAGAGTTCTCTTCCTGCCTTTGTAAGCCAATGTGGAGAAAAAAAAAAGTTATTTCTCAAATACACAATCAATCAATCTCTCTCTCTCTCTCTCTCTCTCTCTCTCTCTCTCTCTCTCTCTCTCTC